ATTAGTAAATTTGGCTGAAATTAGGTCTTTCAGCTTTTTGGTAGATAACTCCCTAATACCGTGGGAATTAGGGAGTTATCTACCAAGCGGCTGCAAGAGACGTTCCGAAATGCTGAAGTTGCCTTAGTGCCGAAGTCCCGAATTTCGAAATGCCGAACCAAACTGAAAATTTTTCCCATGCACATGCCTAGTAAAAAGATTTTATAAGACAAAGTAGGGACTATTTTGTTCTGTATTTTTCCAACACTTGATAAAAAAGGCAGGGCTACCGCTGTCAAGGTTTGTCATGCCCTTAGCTCTAAACTAGTGATGGCTGAGAGGAAAAAAACATTGTCTGTAAAGGATCCTGTGGTCTTGCGGTATCCTCCATAGATATCAGCGTTGTACTTGGACCCAGCAGAAGCAGATGGCAGCCACAAGGGAGAAGTTAAGGCTGCCTCATTGCAAGCTGCAAAGTCACCATCGGGGGTCTTTGCAAAATATTCAGAATCCTGAAGGTGTCAGAGACACTTAAAGGACCACTATAGGCACCCAGACCACTTCAGCTTAATGAAGTGGTCTGGGTGCCAGGTCCCTCTAGGGCTAACCTTGCCTGCTGTAAACATAGCAGTTTCAGAGAAACTGCTATGTTTACATATGGGCTAATCCAGCCTCTAGTGGCTGTCTCATTGACAGCTGCTAGAGGCGCTTCCGAGCTTCTCACTGTGATTTTCACAGTGAGAAGACACCAGCATCCATAGGAAAGCATTGAGAATGCTTTCCTATGGACTGACTGAATGCACGCGCCACTCTTGCCGCGCATGTGCATTGAGCCGATGACGTCCAAAGGAGGAGGAGAGTCCCCAGCCACGAGGGAGCCCGGCGCTGGAGAAAGGTAAGAGTTTAACCCCTTCCTCCAACTTCAGCCCAGCGGGAGGTGGGCTATGAGGGTGGGGGCACCCTCAGGGAACTATAATGCCAGGAAAATTAGTTTGTTTTCCTGGCACTATAGTGGTCCTTTTAAGGGAGAGAGTAGCTATCACTCTAATAAAACATATAGAATGGGCTATTTTGCTGCATCAGAAAACAAAAACAAGGAAAAGCTCCATACTTTTCTCCGTAGCCCCCTCATGGTAAAAGAACTGGGCTTTTAAGAGGTACAGTTGAAATTAAATAAATGCCCCTTTAAAAAACAAATAAATAGTGTGGAGAGAGGAGGGTAAATAATAGTTCATATGCCACTCATCCATTATATACTCCTAACCTGGCACTCCTGGCACAATAACAACTACAGTGAGCAGTAGTAGTTATGTCGCTTAGAGTCTTGCTTAATGTAGGAAGTTGCCTAAGACTTTTCATATATCATATGTTTGTTCCAAACAGTGGAGACCCATTAAAATAGCATGGGATTCTATTTTTGGGTCACGTCCATGGGTTAGGAAATACTGCATGTAGAGTTGCTTTTGTAAGAAATAAACACATTTATGCCTTTGTGAAAAATGTGCGAAAAATTAACTAAATGTAGTGAGGAATCACCTTAGACTTAACATATGTTCTCTGCCTTTCTCATCCTGTTTGGTGTAGGTCTTCACAGATACACGTGGCTTGTATATGAGCAGTCTTGTCCAATAAAATGTGATGAGCGAATCTTGGGAACAACCTCTGCTGAACATCGTGGGCAGTTTAAAATTGCTGCTTTCCGCAAGAAATACAAACTTGGGGGTCCTGTTGCTGGTATCTGCTATCAGGCTGAGTGGGATCACACTGTGCCACAACTCTATAAACAGTTAGGTGTGTGTTGAATATACATGTAGATAAGCTATTTCCGGTGCCTTCCTTTTTGGCTCCTAAAGCACCAAAAATAAATCCAAAAATCCTCTGCCAAAAAAAAAAATAATTTATCTTTATTACTTCATTTTTGTTCAATGCCAGGAAAAGATCCCCAAAATATATATACAATGAGATTTCTGTCATTCTAGGTTGAATCATTGTTTCAACATATCAAACCAGGAAGGCTGCACCTAGCTAAACATGCATACATTATGAGGGGCTGCTGGGGTCAATTAATACAACATACAGGATATATTATATAATAGGAACTCTATAGGGTCAGGAACAGAAACATGTATTCCTGACCCTATCGTGTTAAAACCATCTAGCCCCCCTGACCTCTCCTTGCCTCCCTAAACATAGTAAAGTCTTACTTGTATTCAAGTCTGAAGCTGCTGGCTCTTCTCCTGTCTGCTTGTGAACTGCTTCTGTCTGTTTTTTTGAGCTTTGAAGCTGGTGTTTAGTGAGTGTGTTGAATTCTGTATATGACACCAATTTTAATTCTTTAAAATCGTAATTCTTACCAAACACAATATATTTGTGTTATATTATTTTAATATGCTGGCTATTAAAAGTATTGTTTTTTTTGTAGCTAGAGATAACCTGTAGATCAAGCTGAACTATCAACATGATCAAGTAATAGGAAAAGAGTGTTGGCTTCATATTCATGACATATTTTTACTCTACATCCAAATCTCTTTAATTGTAGTAAAAACAATCCTTAAAAAGAAAACATTTTGTCAGATTATGCTTGCAAACTGACTATATTTATGTATATATATATATATATATATATATATATATATATACTCATATGTTAATTAATTTGCATGTGCATGATGCATTTTTGAGATGTTTATAAATATTAAATAAACTTGAAGAGAACTACATATTTGGAATATTGTCAATTATTTAAAGCATCATTGTCACCTTATCAATGAGGCGATTGACTGTGTATTATATTTCTTTTGCAAGATTCACAATAAACTTTGTAACTAAAAAAATTAAATAAAAATAAAAATGTACCATGCACCAAAATGGATTAATGCCTAGGGAGGCACCATAATTACTAGATAAATACAACATCTGAATTATAGTATGTTCAGTGTGTGCCTATAATAATCATACGAAAGCAACAGCAGTCACTCCAGTGAGTCACAAGTTGACTGCCACAGACTGAGGCATTGTGAAGCCTTGGTTTTATTTAATATTAAAAGGTTTGATTTTAGAAGTGGTCATGGTGGAGGAAATCTACATGTCCTGGACTTCTTATTGATTTGTAGTTGTGTGCCGGTGCTAGTTGCACCCTGGATCATGTGACTTATGAAGCCCATAACTTTATTGGCAGCCAGAGGAGGGGGAAGGAATGCTATGGGACAGGGGAGGGGGGGAAGAATGCTATGGGACAGGGGAGGGGGAAAAGAATGCTATGGGGCAGAGGAGGGGGAAGGAATGCTATGGGACAGGGGAGGGGGGGAAGAATGCTATAGGGGAGGGGGAAAAGAATGCTATGGGACAGTGGAGGGGGGAGCTGAACATTGGGGGCACTAAGGTACAGGGGAGGGGAAGGATAAGATGGGGGGTGGGGAGAAAGACACATAGAGGGACATTAGGGGGGAGAAAGACACACAGATGGGCCTGGGGGTGAGAAAGTCCACAGAGGGGCTGGGGATAAAAGCGCCACACAGAAGAGCTTGTGAGTGGAAATACAAAGGGGTTGGTGGTGAAAGAGACATAGAGAGGCTGAAGAAGAGGAAAAAGAGACACAGAGGGGTTGGGGGGGCGATAGACAGGCTGGTGGTGAAACAGAAACCTTAACAAGGGGTTAAAACCTTACCTTATTCCAGCAGTGACCTCTCCTCCCCCGTCGACGTCAGCGGAGCCGAATGCGCATGCGCGATAAGTGCCAAGCGCTCATTCAAAGTGTCCATAGCAAAGCATTTCTCAATGCTCTCCTATGGACACTCTGCGCGATGGAGGCATAATATGCCTCCAGTGTGGCAGATGCGCCTCTAGTGGCTGTCCGGAAGACAGCCACTAGAGGCTGGATTAACCCCAAATGTAAACATAGCAGTTTCTCTGAAACTGCTATGTTTGCATCTGAAGGGTTAAAACCTGAGGGACCTGGCACCCAGACCACTTCATTCAGCTGAAGTGGTCTGGGTGACTATAGTGTCCCTTTAAAGTAATCCTTTAATAATAGCAATTTATACAAAGAAAATGTAAGTTACAACAAGAATAACCTATAGTGGGACCTCGGTTTACAAACGCCTCTGTTAACATAATTTTTGGTTTACAAATGAAAATCCATTGAAAATAATGCCTCGGTTTACACATTTTTTTTTGCAATACGAAGAAGCAAGTTTCCCCTGGATGCATTGCACCTGGGAGGTTTATAGCGCCCCCTCATGCATGCTGGAGCCTGTGGGTAGCACGTGGCGTAGAGTGTGGAGGTATTGGAGTGGTGGTTTTTGCATCAAGTTTTGGAGCCATTCGGAAAAAGTTTTGGGACTTTTTGGTGCATTTCTCAAGCTGTGGAAAGGTAGAGTGCTGAGCTTTGTCGTTTGCATGCTTTTTATTGTGTGTTCTGCATTGTGGGTTGGTTTCCATGCCAGCTCATTCTGACTTTTTTTTCTGACCTCCAGAACGGATTAATTGGTTTTCAATGCATTCCTATGGGAAACAGCGTTTCGGTTTACAAATGTTCCGCAATAAGAAACGTCCCGGAGAATGCATTAAATTCGTAAACCGAGGTCCCACTGTATTTTATTACCACCATTTTATTAGACTGATTTCTAAGCACATTTACTGTAGTTACTGTGAGTATTATTGCTGGGAGCTGTTATACACTCAGACAATACAGAGCTCTCAGACAGGATGTGTGTCTAAGACAGGGACTGTGTTTCTCAGACAGTTATGGACACAGATGGGGAAAGGAGCAGCTGAGACAAGTTTGACAAACACTTGTGACATCCTTTCCCGTTGAATCACATTCAGTGATGTCGCCAATGCAGCAGTCGCGCAGTGATTTTCCCATGATGCCCTGCTGCCCGGCTCGCCGCATTGCATTGTGTCTGGATCTGCACTCAGCATTCCTAACGGTTCACAGGGTGAGGGCGGTGCCGGCTGTCAATCTCACCGAACACGGGTGATCGGATCTCCACCAATAGGAAGCAGGCTGGGACTCCGCCCATGTCTCTGATTGGCTGAGGGTTGTTAAAGGCCACGTTGAGCGACCTTTATTGCGCTCAGTTAGTTGGCGGTGACACGGCTGCAGCATGCCGGCAGACATCTCCCAGTGGACCGGCTCTCTGGAGCTCCATGAGGTGGAAGAGAAACCAGCGCATCCGCTGAGCGTGAGCTACGGCTCCCTGCGGGTAGAGGAGCTGGGCCAAGTGCTGACACCCACCCAGGTAGCCTCGCCAGCGCAGGGCATGAGTGCGTCACACCCCCAGCCAGCCCGGGCCTGCACCGCGCTACCGCCCCGCCTTATAACGGGCCTGTCCGCGGAGCCTCCGGGGAGCGGACTGACCGTGATATACAGGATGTCGATCTGACAGACAGACAGACAGACAGACATGGGGTGCGGGGTGCTGGGCTGCGGTTCGGTTATTCAGTCTCTTGTATAGTAATATAAGATTTTATCGCCATTAAAAGATCGCACTCCAGGGACTTATCCCGTGTTCAAAAAGTTGACTTTTCTGTGTAAAACTTTCTGTAAGACAAACGTAAAGTTTTTTTTATTTTTTATTTTTGGATATAAACTCCCTGGAGTGTTGTCTTATTGCAATTCTATAAATCTCTCTCAAATTTATTTATTTATATATTTTTTTCTTTATTTCAATATTTAGTAGTAAAACATGCAATTTTTTTTTTTTCCTCATTATGGGTATCTCTTAACAAACAAACAAAAAAAAACCCCAGCTCAAATTTTGTCTCTCTTCAATCACAGACTCCTCAATGAGAAGGCTTTCTAAGGCAGGTGCTCCGGGCAATTGTTGCCTCGTTTAGTTTAGATCCACTGAGCTAACCAAACCAGGAAGTAACAACTGGATCAATGACCGCCGTGGATGCATAGGCTTTGATTCATAAAAGTTCCAATTTCTATTGAAATCTCCAACTTTTTGTTACTTTTTCACCCATAATTCACTTTAGCAAGCTGTCATGCTTTAGGGCTTGGGAGTGTCCATTTAAACAACTTAGAATCCCAAAATACTAAAATTGATAACTGTAAAGCATCCTGGTGTGTACAAAACTTAAAGGACCACTATAGTGCCAGGAAAACATATTCGTTTTCCTGGCACTATAGTGCCCTGAGAGTGCTCCCGCCCGGCTCTGGAAGGGGGAAAGGGGTTTAAACTTACCTTTTTCCAGCGCTGGGCGGAGAGCTCAACTCCTCCGATCCTCCTCTTCTCCTCCCCGTCGGCTGAATGCGCACGCACGGCAAGAGCTGCGCGCGCATTCAGCCGGTCACATAAGAAAGCATTATCAATGCTTTCCTATGGACGCTGGCGTGCACTGTGAAAATCACGCAAGCGCCTCTAGTGGCTGTCAATGAGACAGCCACTAGAGGAAATAGGGGAAGGCTTAACCCATTCATAAACATAGCAGTTTCTCTTAAACTATGTTTATTAAAAAATGGGTTAACCCTAGCTGGACCTGGCACCCAGACCACTTCATTAAGCTGAAGTGGTCTGGGTGCCTAGAGTGGTCCTTTAACTGGGAAAAATATTTGGATCAAATTGTGCAATTTAACTTTCAGTTTTCTTACAAGTTACTCTTTATTTAAACCCAGATATCTTTCTTCCTAGCAGGTTATCAGTACAGCAACTAGGAACATATGTACAGAGCCATGGAATGTGTGGGCACATATAAAGTATAATAACATGTCCAGGAAGTGTCTGTTAATGGCTGCCGGTAACTCCATGCCTGAGGCCAAGATCATGGGTCCTTTATTTTTATTGTGGTGAAAGCTGTTCCATAAGAGCAAAGCCTTCCTATTGACTAATGGAATTTTATGAGGATGCATCCTGGATTAAAATCTTTGAGTTGTCCAGCAAACCAGTATTTGCAGAAAATTTACAAGTGAAGTAGAACATATAGAGCAAAATGGCTTAACTGGAAAAAAAAAAAATTCCCACTTATTTTTCTAGCAAGTTTGTTTGCCTAAATTGTGCATTCTAAATTCAGAATCTTTCCCAAACTGGATTGCTTAAAGGACCACTATAATGCCAGGAAACAAACTTGTTTTCCTTGCACTATAGGGTCTTTAAGTTCTCACCCTCAGGGTCCTACTCGCTCTGGGCAGAAGGGGTTAAACACTTTCTTCAGCTCCTGGCAACTCTACTCCCTCTTCCGACGTCTGCTCCGAATGCACATACGTGGCAAGAGCCGCGCGCATTCAAACCGCCCATAGGAAAGCATTTCTCAATGCTTTCCTATGGACGTCACCGTCTTCTTACTGTGATTTTTACTGTGAGAAGTGCGGAAGCGCCTCTAGCGGCTGTCAGTGAGACAACCACTAGAGGCTGGATTAACCCTAGCGTAAACATAGCAGTTTCTCTAAAACTGCTATGTTTACAGCTGACACCCAGACCACTTCATTGAGTTGAAGTGGTCTTTGTGACTATAGTCAGGTCCGCCACCAGAAATTTTGGGTCCCCTAACTCAGCTCAGACTGGAGCAATTTAAATGGAGTCCAAGAAAAATGGGATTATTTAAAAGTTGCACTATTGAAGGCAACAGAAAATTGCATTAGGCTTGTCAGTAAAAGCAAAAAATTCAAGAAACCACTGTGGTACTCTGCAGATGTGGCCAAAATAGTTAAAAACAAAAAGTTAGCATTTAGGAATTATAAAAAAAAAAAAAAATCATAGTGAGGGAGACAAAATGTTCTATAAGATTAGGCAGAAAGAGGCTAAGCAAGTTATAAGAGCTTCCAAATCACACACAGAAGAGAAAATAGCACAGTTAGTAAAAAAAAAAATGGGGATAAAACATTTTTTAGATACATAAATGAGAAAAGAAAAGTAAAACAAGGATTAGTTAGATTAAAAACAAAAGGAAAGTATGTAGAAGAGAATAAAGGTCAGGCTGACTGCCTCAATGAATATTTTTGTTCTGTATTTACAGAAGAAAATGAAGGAAAGGGACCTCAGTTGAGAAAAAGGATAAATGAGTCATTTATTACACGTGAGTTTACAGAGGAAGAGGTTCTATTTCAACTGTCAAAAGTAAGACAAATAAGTCAATGGGACCTGATGGAATACACCCAAAGCTATTAAAAGAGCTTAGTGGTGTACTAGCAAAACCATTAACAGATTTATTTAACCAATCATTGTTAACAGGAGTAGTCCCAGAAGATTGGAAGTTAGCGAATGTTGTGCCCATTTACAAGAAAGGTAATAGGGAGGAGTCGGCAACTATAGGCCAGTAAGCCTTACTTCAGTAGTGGGGAAAGTGATGGAAACCATGTTAAAGGATAGGATTGATGAACATCTAAAAACACATGGATTTCAAGATCAGAGACAACATGGGTTTACTTCAGGGAGATCATGCCAAACTAATCTTATTGATTTTTTTGATTGGGTAATTAAAATTATAGATCAGGGTGGTGCAGTAGACATTGCTTACCTAGATTTCAGTAAGGCTTTTGACACTGTTGCACATAGAAGGCTTATCAATAAACTGCAATCTTTAAGTTTGGATTCCAATATTGTTGAATGGGTAAGGCAGTGGCTGAGTGACAGGCAACAGAGGGTTGTAGTTAATGGAATATATTCGAAGCTTGGACTTGTCAACAGTGGGGTACCTCAGGGATCTGTACTTGGACCCATTCTCTTTAATATTTTTATTAGTGATATTGCAGAAGGTCTTGATGGTAAGGTATGTCTTTTTGCTGATGATACTAAGATATGTAACAGGGTTGATGTTCCGGGAGGGATAAGCCAAATGACAAATGATTTAGGTAAACTAGAAAATGGTCAGAATTGTGGCAACTGACATTTAATGTGGATAAGTGCAAGATAATGCATCTTGGACGTAAAAACCCAAGGGCAGAGTACAGAATATTTGATAAGAGTCCTAACCTCAACATATGAGGAAAGGGATTTAGGGGTGATTATTTCTGATGACTTAAAGGTAGGTAGACAATGTAATAGAGCAGCAGGAAATGCTAGCAGAATGCTTGGTTGTATAGGGAGAGGTATTAGCAGTAGAAAGAGGGAAGTGCTCATGCCATTGTACAGAACACTGGTGAGACCTCACTTGGAGTATTGTACAAAGTACTGGAGACCGTATCTTCAGAAGGATATTGATACCTTAGAGAGGGTTCAGAGAAGGGCTACTAAACTGGTTCATGGATTGCGGGATAAAACTTACCAGGAAAGGTTAAAGGATTTTAACATGTATAGCTTGGAAGAAAGACGAGACAGGGGGGGATATGATAGAAACATTTAAATATATAAAGGGAATCAACACAGTAAAGGAGGAGACTATACTTAAAAGAAGAAAAACTACCACAACAAGAGGACATAGTCTTAAATTAGAGGGACAAAGGTTTAAAAATAATATCAGGAAGTATTACTTTACTGACAGGGTAGTGGATGCATGGAATAGCCTTCCAGCTGAAGTGGTAGAGGTTAACACAGTAAAAGAGTTTAAGCATGCGTGGGATAGGCATAAGGCTATCCTAACTATAAGATAAGGCTAGGGACTAATGAAAGTATTTAGAGAATTGGGCAGACTAGATGGGCCGAATGGTTCTTATCTGCCGTCACATTCTATGTTTCTCTGTCTACTAGACAGCCACTAGAGGGCACTTCCTGATTCATAGCAAAGATTTTCTTTGCTCGAGCGTCGCTGGACGTCCTCACGCTGTGTGAGGACATCCAGCGTCGCTCAATTCCCCAAAGGAAAGCACTGGAAATTTTTTTTTTTTTCAATGCTTTCCTATGGGGAGACCTAATGCGTGTACGCATTAGGTTTCCTCAGCCGGCTGGCGGGATCGGTCTCGCCCACTGGCTGATGTGATTACTGGCAGGAGTGATGCCGACCCGAAACCACCGCCGAGGGACATCGGCATGGTCTCAGGTAAGTGACCTGAAGAGGTTTTCACCCCTTCAGCTACCTGGGATGGGAGGTGGGAGGGAGAGAGTACCTGCAGTGACAGGGAAAATGGGTTGTTTTCCTGGCACTGGAGTTTTCCTTTAATGTAAATAGTGAAACTATTTAGGCTTTGCTCTACTGATTGAGTTTAGCTACTGCGAATAATTAGCTGACCGTCTGAGCCATTGTGTGAGTCAGGAGTGCTGTCAGTATGACTTCTTACTTGAGGTCCTACTCTAGAGTTTCTAAGTGGTGACTACGACATCACCAGAACCATTATAGATTTCTGTATAGGCTGTGGTGTGGAGTGTTGTAAAGATATATCTTGAGGAAATACTTACCCTGACTAAGTTGGAATTTTATTGAAATTCAAAACAATCCAAAGATGTCATGAGACAATATGTATACTATTGTGTCTTGTGTTAAAGCTTGAGGCGTGGGATTCAGGAATTGTCTTGATTATCTGTGGATGGTAGGCGACTGTAAGGGACAGCTTTAGATAAGTAAACATACCTTCCATTGCACTTTGGCCCTAACTGGAAATGTCCCCTTCAAGGATGTTTGCTAAATATGCATAGACTCTCTTGAAAGTGACAGATCCAGTTTAAAGGAACACGAATGTGTTCGGAATGTAGTCCTAAAATATTAATCTTTAAGTTCTGATAAAAAAACAAAAAAAAAACTTTGTCTTTTTGCTATGTCTGTTCAAACGTAGTTCACATTATTATTATTATTATTATTATTATTATTATTATTATTATTATTATTATTATTATTATTATTATATCTGTGGAGGATAGATAGGTGGGAGCAGCGTTATGTAGAGATTTGAAAGCAAGAACCAGAATTTATTCATTCATATTAAATGCACCCACGGTTATTTTAGATCATGTTAAAGGGAAACTCCAGTGCTAGGAAAACAATCTGTTTTCCTGGCACTGCAGGTCTCCTCTCCCTCCCACCCACCCCAATCCCCGGTTGCTGAAGGGGTAAAAACCCCTTCAGTGACTTACCAGAAGCAGCGACTTACCAGAGCTCCTCCTCTGCATTACGTCGGCAGAGCGCATGCGCATTAGAGCTCCCCATAGGAAAGCATTGAAAATGCTTTTCAGTGCTTTCCCATGGGGAATTGAGCGACGCTGGAGGTCCTCACACAGCATGAGAATGTCCAGCGACGCTCTAGCTCAGGTTTTCTGTGCTATGACGCAGGAAGTGCCCTCTAGTGGCTGTCTAGTAGACAGCCACTAGAGGTGGAGTTAACCCTGCAAGGTAATTATTGCAGGTTATAAAAAAAAAAAAAAAGAAAAAGAAAAATGCAATAATTACACTTGCTGGGTTAAGGGTAGTGGGAGTTGTCACCAGATCACTCCAATGTGCAGAAGTGGTCTGGGTGCCTGGAATGTCCCTTTAATGAGAAATTGACTTTTATTTCACATGAAACTATTTAATATTAATAAAATCTAAAGTTTGAGAAATTAAGAATTTTTTTTTTTTTTTTTTGTTCTGCATGGCATTTTAACTGTGAATGTCGAACTGTTAAACACACGTTTGTGTTCAGTGAGGTCTCATGAGTAAAACAGTACCCCCGTGTACAGGTTTCATGGTGTATTGTAAAGTTACAGGCTTAAATATAGAGCTTACAAATTACATTCTCTGGACTTTCTGCTTGGGTTGTCAGGCAGGTCCCTCAAATTATAACTACTAAAATCGCATAAGTATGTAAAATGATACAGACGTAGACTTTTTAAATGTATACATACCGTATATACTCGAGTATAAGTCGACTCGAATATAAGTAGAGACCCCTAATTTTACCCCAAAAAACTGGGAACTTATTGACTCGAATAAGACTAGGGTGGGAAATGCAGCAGCTACTGGTAAATTTCTAAATAAAATCAGATCCCAAAAATATTAATTGAATATTTATTTACAGTATGTGTATATAATGAATGCAGTGTGTGTGCAGAGCCTTGGTGGGGGGTGGGCATTTTTATTATTTTTTTAAATTATTATTATTTTAATATATTTATATTAATAATATTTTTATTTTATTTTGTATTATTTAAATTTGTATTTATATTTTTTTGTCCCCCCTCCCTGCTTGATACATGGCAGGGAGGGGGGCTCTCACTCCCTGGTGGTCTAGTGGCATGGGCTGTGTAGGAGGGGGGCTGGCAGAGAGCTGTAACTTACCTTTCCTGCAGCTCTTGTCAGCTCCCTTCTCTCTCGTCCGGTCAGCTCCTCTGTCAGCTCCCACTGCAAGTCTCGCGACGTGAGTGCCGCGCGGACCGTTGCCACGGTAACTTGCAGTGGGGCTGACAGGGAAGCTGACCAGAAGGGAGCTGCAGGAAAGGCAAGTTACAGCTCTCTGCCAGCCCTCAACAAGACCGCCGGGCTCATTACAATGTAAGTTGCCATAATATAGACAGTGACTCGAGTATAAGACGAGTGGGGGGTTTTCAGCACAAAAAATGTGCCAAAAAACTCGTCTTATACTAGAGTATATACAGTATCTATTATCTGAAATACAAATCCATTTACATTCAGTATATATTTGTTATATAACTTCATTCGAAGTGTGTTTTGATACATATATATCAAAGTACAGTTAGAATGAAATAGCATATTTTTTCATTTTTAATCTATATTATATTCTAAGTGTAATTAATATTAAAATAAAAAAAAGCAACTCACTTTTGAAAAAGGTGTTAGCCGAAACGCGTCCAGTGGACTTTTCTGATATGTGAGGTTATTTTTACCCAAACTATTTTGTTTTCTTCACCTATTTTCTGCATCCTGGAGTGTCTATGGTGTAAGATCAACTTTATTGAGGCTGGCAAAAGAATATTTGACCCACTGCATCCTCATTTTCAAGCTACTCGTCTGAGCCAGCTTTAAGTGGCTCAGAATCATGTGAGTTGGACCAGTAAAGTGTATATAGGTTTTAACTGTTAAAGGACCACTATAGGCACCCAGACCACTTCAGCTTAACGAAGTGGCCTGGGTGCCAGGTCCAGCTAGGTTTAACCCTTTTTGCTGTAAACATAGCAGTTTACTGCACATACACTGCTATGTTTACCTATGGGTTAATCCAGCCTCTAGTGGCTGTCTCATTGACAGCCGCTAGAGGCGCTTCCGCGCTTCTCACTGTGGGTTTTTTCTTTTTTTGTTTTTTTTTTTCAGTGAGAAGATGCCAGCGTCCATAGGAAAGCATTGAGAATGCTTTCCTATGAGACTGGCTGAATGGCGCGTGCTGTGCATGCGCATTCAACCGATGACGGAAGAAGAGGGAGGAGAGTCCCAATGCAGAGGGAGCCCGGCGCTGGAAAAAAAGGTGAGGGATTAACACCTTCCTCCCCATTCAGCGCCACGGGAGTGGGACCTTGAGGGTGGGGGCACTATAGTGGTAGGAAAATAAGTTTGTTTTCCTGGCACTATAGTGGTCCTTTAACTATATTACCCTATGTTCTTTTTATATTTGCATTTTTAGATTCCAACTTCAATGTTTATCTGTGGTATATTGTGTGCTCTCACTTCTGCATTTTGTATATATGTCACTGTTAAGTGTGTGGCTTTTTTTTTGAGTGATTCACACAGGTGGTGGGTTGTCGGGCAGTCCCCTCCGAATCGAAGCATCACTGTGGCGGGGGAGTGCTGGCGATCTGCAAGGTGGGCTTTAACGCTGCAGGGCGGTATAATACACTTGCTGCAGGGGTGCATAGTATGCCCTGCGGCGTTAAGGAGTTATTGTTCCTATCCCTAGCTTCTGTTGGTAGTCTTGTCACGTGCTGTTTGACATAAAAAAAGTAAAAAAAAATATTTACTTGCCTATTTCTAGCACTGAAACATCCTTGGCACTGCTTACCTCTCCTCTTATGGCATCACAGAGGAATCTGCCCAATCCACTGCTCTATATAGAGTAGCTTTGGGGGACGCAATGTGCAATCGCAGCGAGTGTTGCGCAAATCAAACCTCCACATAGGCAAGCATTTCACGCTTTCCTATGGGAGTTTTACGCTGTTTTTGAGGCAGGAAGTGCTTCTAGTAGCTCAGTAGAACTTTGAGGTGTTTAAAGGACCACTATAGTGCCAGGAGGGTGCCCCCACCCTCAGGGTCCCCCTCCCGCCGCGCTCTAGGGGGTGGAAGGGGTTAAACTTGCTTTTCTCCAGCGCTGGGCAGGGGACTCTCCTCCTCGGCTGAATGCGTATGTGCGGCAAGAGCAGCGTACGCATTCAGCCAGTCCATAGGAAAGCATTCACAATTCTTTCCTATGGACGCTGGCGTCTTCTCACTGTGAAAATCACAATGAGAAGCGTCTCTAGCGGCTGTCAATGAGACAGCCAATAGAGGCTGGATTAACCCTCAGTGTAAACATAGCAGTTTCTCTGAAACTGCTATGTTTATAGAAAAAAGGTTAACCCTAGATGGACCTGGCACCCAGACCACCTCATTAAGCTGAAGTGGTCTGGGTGCCTATAGTGGTCCTTTAACATTACAACGTAAACATTGCAGTTTCTTTAAAAACAAATGCAATGTTTAACATTGCAGGATTAAACCTACAGGGACTTCAGCACAAAGCTTCACTGAGCTCAAGTGGCCTGGGTGACTCATAGTACTTAAGCAGTTCTTAAAGCAACTTTTTATTTACTTTTTTAGCTGTGTTTTTACAAATTTAGGTAATAGAATCCCCACCTACTACGAAATTATTTATCTTTAAACAAATAAGAAAAAAAATAACATAAAACAGATATGCCATCTCTTGGTACCTGAGATGAAACATTTAAAAAATGTAAAGGGGAAACATTGCTTCTATGGAAATATATATTGAATAAAACCTTGAAAATAACCTATAACGTGTAAACTTTTTTTCATGTGATGTTCAATTTTCACCTTCTGGGGTGTTTGCCTCCATCTGGAAATTTGCAAAGACCTACCCAAAGGTGACTTTGCCAGTTGATGTCTCTCCTCGGGCTGTAGGGGAAGGTAAAGTTAATTGAACTGAAGCTGTCCCTTGCAGCCACTGCCATCTGCATCCGGTGGATCCTCTTCAGCTCCTGGCGCTTAATCCTGCAGGAGCCCATGTCAGAGTTGTAATTTCACATGTGAGAGATTATAGCTCAGAGTATTATGGAGGATCCCACAGCAGAAAAATAGTGTTGCAATGAGTTAGGATAAAAAGACAAAAGGTAGCTTCACCTATTTGTCAAGCAATGGAGTTCCTACGTTGCCCTATGTATTTTAGGAGGAAAAAGATGAGAAAAGAACAGACTAGGAGTGAGGAAGAAAAGAGGAACCAATAGAAGTAAGGGTAGGGTGACAAAGCCATTTAAACTAGTATGAAAGATCTAGCAAACTACTGTACACCATAATCCACTTCAGTCCAGGACAATCATTGAAAATAAAAAAATCATTTCATATATTCTCCTTGGTGATTTGCCAGATTCAAAGAAGATAGCTTATTATAGTGACTGACATGAAGCCAAGACTCTCAGTTTACACATAATCTGGTGCTGATTTCTACATTGAAAGGGCTACTTTAACCACCATGACCACTTCAGTGTTTTGAAGAGGTCATGGTGGTAGGACTATGTATGTGCAGCATGTGACAAACTGAACCTCGTCACGGGTTCTTGGAGGGGCCTGCTGGCCAGCCACTTACCTCAGGACCATGGCTCAGGCATTAGACTTTGGTTCAGGACTGTGGATAGGCTTTTTGTGCCTGTTCCCTTATATGGTTTGTTATATGGGGCTTACTGAATGGATTATACTTATGCTGTTCATATGTCGAACCAACTAGCGAACAGTTGGGCCACCTTGAAGTTAAGTGTGTCGCTTTTTTAACCTTTATTGACCGTGTTATCTGCCATATTCTAACCGGTCGGCTGGGTGGCTGCTGTTCGGATGGACGAACACAAAGTGGCGGCCATCTTGTTCCCGCGAAAACATACAGCGGTGTTTGGTAGTTGAGTGCATTAAACTATAATCGGACACTTGACAGCGCGAACACTGCTGGGACTTCCATCTCTTCATACATTCAAGTGGATTCACTTAAGAGCGGCGTTCGTTCCCGAATAAGAGACACAGACTGTGTACATACGAACTGGTTGTGGGGTTTCCATGTGTTTTTGGGGGTACTTTCGGGAGGCTGTAAAATGTGTTTTCTGTGCCTGGAGATAATGGAGTTTAGTACAGTTTCTGACTCCATTATCTGTCAGGCACAGGGGAGGGATTATCTTGTTTCGGGTGGGAGTGTTCTGGACCTGAGAGCCAATCTACTCATGTATGTGTTTTTGCTGTAGTCTACTCTAAGGTCCATTGGGGAATGCACCTAGAATATGTTTGAGGAAACTCCTTGCATGGGGACTGACATAAAAGGCAGTGTGTGGATTCCATTAAACGGAACGATTTACCTCTTCATGAAGTCTAGGCTCATGTTTGGGGGATTTGGAGAGCTAAATTCATTCTGGAGATTGCTATAAATACTATACTCCCTTGGGTTACAGCACTTGCGCTTGTAAGAGCAGTCTGCTATACTCTCTGGAGGAGGAGAGGCCTACACACTGGAAGCTGGATCCTGGTCTTGGGTCCTGGGTGGGTAGAGGACAGCGACACCCTAACCAAGCTGTAATGCTGGCTGTGGGGACTATGGTGTCTGGTATAATGCTTGGAAGTACTCGGTGAGCACTAGCGAGCATCGATTGGTCGGGGTGCCAGGCACAGCACATACTGAAATATTTTTAATTGTGGATGGCGTGGTGGGGATAGTTGCACACCCAGCAAACATGGCATTGGCAGTCCAGGACATGTTAGTGTAACATCTTTGTATTCTTAAAACTAAAGTGTTCCTTTTAAATAGAGATAAATAAATGTGATTTTATTAATCATTGGAAGTGACAGTTTCTCTTTAATTTATTTAGAGCTAATTAAATGTGCACAATATTTGCATTAACGATATGGACAGCGATGAGCCAGGACACAGGCTTTCGGGGGGACATGTGGTTTGCCTCGTAACTAGGGGGCAGCACCAGGGGTCAGCTTGCCAAGTAACTAAAGTGCGCTGTAATGGTAATAACAGTGCCACTTTAACCAAGTCCAGATAAAATAACTGATATATAATCAAACATGACCTACTCTAAATGTAGGGTTTTTTTTGTTTTTTTTTAATGCCCATAGGACACAAAACTTAAATTGGGTTTAATGTACAAGCCATGCCTAAAATTTGCCACCACTTATGTCTGAAGGCCATTTTGATTTGTTTTGTCCACAGCGTGTTATTTCAGTGAGTGCTTGTATTTGATGATGGTCTGGATGTGTGAATGCAGGCATCTGTGTGTGTGTGTGTGTGTGTGTGTGTGTATGCATGTTCAAATACGTGCATTGAAATGTACTAGTAGAAGCTGTCTGTTTTAAGTGTATTGTGTGTTTTCACAGGATGTAAGTAGTTTGTTCAATTTTTTTTTTTTTTTTTGTGTATAAAACATACAACACACACACAAAAAAAAAACTTTTATAAATGCAAGTAAATTGGAGCGTTTCTATGAATACATTTTTGGTACCTTTTTGCCCCTCCATATTATACTTGCCCTCTCAATAAACCTGTCGCCTTTCACATTCTAGGAAATATTGTGGAGGAACGGGATCAGTGACCTCTTTGGCCCATGTCCTCTCTTGCTATGACCCTGCAGCCACCATTCTTCTCTACCCCTAACTCCTCAGAGGCTTATCCACCATTTTTGCCCTTTCCCTTACGCTTTTATTTTATTTATTTTTTTGTGTCTATGTTAAGAGCAACTTGTGCTGTATGCACGTTTATACCACCTTATATTACAGAAGTTCCTTTCAGTGTGATTTGTGCTTGTCTGTATTATGCTTTGACTTTAATATTTTTTCAGGTTCAGAATCGCCCCACAAGCATTGAGTGGGATGGAATGGATAACAACAAGCTGTATACTCTTGTGCTCACAGACCCTGATGCACCAAGTAGGAAGAATCCCAAATTTAGGTTAGCACCATTACTTCTTATTGTTCAGTTGTAGATTACTATCCCAGTATGTCAATCATGGTCTGGAGCTACATAAATAAGTTTAGTTACTGTTAGCCTTTGCTGTGCTTACTATGCTTACACACTGGTTACACCCTCGCAGTTACAATTTTTTATTTTTTTATTTTTGTGTCTCTGTACTGGTGAACACCACACCTGCAAACATCTTAGCCTATCCACCTTTGGAGTGGCTCCTCCTGGAATTGTATTTTGATTTATCCATGTGGTAGCGTGAGGAGTTTATATTTCCTTCCTGGATGGTGAGAGCTCAGAAGCCTTACATATGGAATGTAAAACTGATAGAGGCGCTCAGAATGCATCTCTGTCCTCTCAAGCACCTCCCCCATACACCTTTTAGTTCTGTTTCTTCTTGCCCTTGGAGGAACATGGGCATGTCCGCCTTCTGAAAAGACAGATTTTTATTTTTACAAGCCTGAAAATAGGTGTTCCCTTTCGATAATGGACACATTATCCCCTTGTACCTATATAATTAGAAGGTGGGGGTCGAAGAGACAAAATAAATAGGGAAAGACTGTGGAGGTGGAAGACCTATATAAAAAAAATTATAAAAAAAAAATTGGGCAAATACACCAAAAGGGAATTTAAAGGGACTCTTAAGGAGAAGGGGAGATAATGATATCTCTGCTTAATGAGGACTCATTCATTATAACCAAGTTTATAAACTTCTGCTTCAACTAATAAATAATTGCTACACTTGCTGCTGACTACATGTTTATAAGTAAAGGGTGTCTAGTTGGGATCCACCATGTTCTGCATAAAAATGAAAACATCCCTGCACCAAGTGTTTTTATTTTTTTGTTGGTGACCAGAGCAAAATGTTTGTTTTGATGTGGCCTTTGAATCCTTCTGGACTATATCCATTCCAGCACCAGATGTGGTGGGCAACCAGCATATCACTGCCTTAAATGTCTCTCTGGTGATACATGGCTTCCACTTATGAAAATCGGCTTGGCAGATACTCTCGCTGGACTAATGAGCAGCCCGGCCAGCTAACATGGGTACAAATGGCCAGCCTTTGGAATGCTGTCAAATTTATATTCAAACATGTTCGCATCAAGGTACAGCAGGTAACTGTAATGTGCTTAAACTTAAATGAACAAAAGAATCACTAATTGCCTTAATTAGTATGCCTTGTTTCTTGTTTTTGTTTTCTTAATTTTTTTTTTCTTCTTCTCTATCTCAAGTTTTTATGCATTAATTTTAGGGAATGGCACCATTTCCTTGTGGTGAACATGAAAGGAAATGACATTGGCAGTGGATGTGTCCTATCTGATTATATAGGCTCAGGACCACCAAAAGGAACAGGTGAGTAATATCACATGACCTGATGACCACTTTGTCAATGTGTCATACCTTTAAAAGGGGAAAACTCTCTCCCCTCCAAGGAGCTAGCTCAGCTATGGATGTTGCATGCACAATCCACAAGGCAGTGGCTGCTAACACATGCCAATACAGTTTATGGAACCAGGCTGTATATAGCAAGGCTGCTATCAGTTATGCTATCCAGTGCAATGATTTGAACTGCTCTTTGAGGGTAAATGTTAATCCATAATCTCCAGCTGGATGCAATCTGGGTAAGATCTCCCTGTAGAGCAGAATGAGAAACATCTGACTGGAGGTCTGATCCTGATGTGGGAGGTGTCTTTCTGCAGGCAGGTCCACTAAATAGTGATTCAGGTAGAAATATTTTTGGTACATTTTTAACTTTTTTCATTATTCTAATAGTAAGTCAGATCTTGAAATCTTTAACAAACTGATCCTCTGGAAGACTAGATGAACACCAGCATGACCCAAAATAGAAATATGTTCACAAAGCATGTCCTAAGGAGTAGATTGATTTTATTTATTTTTTTTATTTTTATTTTTTATTTATTCATTATTTTTTTACAAATCTACATCAGAAACTTGCATGATGGCAAAAACTAGTGGATCATGTCATGTTACTGTAATTTGTGGCTCAACACGAGATAGTTGAACAGCTTGAGAGATGTATGTTGTTCATAAAATACATTCGGAATCTGAAACTTTAAAGGGGTACTGCCTTTAGAAGTGGTCATGGAGCAAGCTGTCTATTTTTAGTAAATGTTTGGAGTGTAGTTTCGATTCCTGACATAAAGTGGCGGTAGCTGTGGATATTTATCATCTTGTGGAAAAGCCGATTTGTAAAATCTAAATAATCCCTCCTCATTACCCCTTCAACACCAGACTATTCCTCCAATAACCAGTATTCTTCCTTGTCCCAGTCGTCAACAGACCTGTTGACTGTTGAGGAAGTCTAGTAAAACGCACAGGGTGCAGCTGGGGGACCTGGTCAATAGTTCTCCTGGAGGTGAGCTAAGAGCCCTGCTCAGAGTAGGTATTTTTTATGTTAACCAGGACATTTACTCTTAATTTCAAATGTCTGGCCCAACGTCTCCTAAAGATTTGGAAAAGGAGAAAATGGCAGCACCTGCACTGAAAAAAGCGGCATACAAATCTAAACATATAGATCTTGCACAGAATGCTTTACACCACTGCCAGATGGATGCAGAAAAAAAATGTGCAATGTATGTTCCTCTGAAAATTTGAGAAAACAAAGCCGAAAGACATACAAACTTTCCTTCACTGGTTTCCAGATAATCTAGCACAAATCTTTGACTCATTCAAGGGGACGACTAGAGCAACTATGCCACATATGCTGGAAAAAAAACTAGTAAGAAACCTATGAGGATGACCTCTCCTACTTCCAATTTCTCTTCTGGAGAATGTTCAGACACCTCTTACTCATCTCTACCTAGCCAAACTTCAAGTTTGGAAGAAGGTTTTCCTATTGAAGAACTTAAAAGATTCACTAAGGAAGTTTTGTCTGTTTTAGCCGAAGACAGTTCTGCAAAGAAGAAAGTTAAGTTATCCTATACAACATAAATTACTGGAGCTGGTATATAGAGAATGGAAAAACACAGAAAAAAGGCTTTTATCTCAAAACATAAGGAGGTTTTTTTTTTGTTTACAAGATGAGATGGGAAGATCTACCGAAAGTAAATACTCAACTGTCAAAGAAAACACCTCTATCTATAAGTGAAGTATCCAGATTAAGAAATCATAGAGCTATAAGGGTTTTCCAAGCAGCAGACTTTCAAGGTAAAGCAGCAGTAGCAGGCACTTTGGTTATTTAAAGCTCAGAAATCATGGTTTCAAGCAATGGAAAATTGTCTTTCTGAAGTAACAGAAAAAGAAATACCTCAACTAATACACATCAGATCGACTAATGATTTTATGATCGAGATGTCTGAAGTCCTTAAACTTTTGGCACGCGTGATGGATTTAGCCTCCGTAGCTAGAAGAGCATTTTTGCTCCACTGTTGGTTGGCTGATACAGCATCTAAGGCTTCTCTATGTGAGCTACCACTGGAAAGTCGCAAATAGTTTGTTTCACCTCTAGAAAAAGTGAGCAAACCTGTTGGACACCAAGAAAGGCTTGCCACAAGAAAGCAGATTTTTCATCTGGGAATAGAAGATTTCAATACCGCCCACAAAGATCTTTAAGATATAATAGACCTCAGTATTTTCTGAGGCACCCCAGAGACTACAAGTTAAGCGATAAGTCATCAAGTGGACAAGGCAAAAAGAAAATGTTCTGACTCTAAAGTTGGAGGACGACTTAAACAGTTTTACGAAATATTGAGAAAAACGACAAACCCATGGATTCTGAGTCCAATAAACAGCGGCTATAAAATCCCACACCATGATTTATGTTATTGTCTTATCTTTCACAGCAAAAAAGGGAGGCTGCCCTGGCAGAAGCTATGATCTTGGTAAAAAAAAAAAAAAAAAACAGTCATTGAGAAAATCCCAAAACTACAAGTAGGACAAGGAGTCTATTCAAGACTGTTCCTAGTGCCCAAGCAAGATCAATCAGACCAATTCTGGATCTAAAAAATGTCAACAGATTCATATAAAAAAAATTCTGCATGGAAACCATCCAATATGTGACTCTAATATTGAACAGATTAGATTTTTATGGCTACCCTAGACCTGAAAGATGCCTACCTAGGCAACTACAAGACAACATCTAAGATTTGCAATACATTCAGGTACAAGAATTCTGAATTTTCAGTTTAAGGCTCTCCCGTTTTGGTCTGACATCCGCACCAAGGGTCTTTACAAAGATACGAAGTCCATTAGCCGCAACTCTGAGAGAAAGAGGCATAACAATAGTTTTGTATCTAGACGACTGCTTCATTAAAGCAGATTCCAGAAGTCCACTGCAAAAAGGTATCTGCAACTTCTCAGGAATCATGGTTGGATAATCAACAAAGAAATCTCAATTGCTTCCAACTTTGAATATTCAATTCTTGGCTTTAATTGTCGATTCAAGAACCTTCTCTCTCCATCTTCCTTGTCACAAAAGACCAAAGATATGAAAAATATATAATTTCTGCAACAAAAGCCAAATTGCACAATAAGAAAAGCTAGGAGTATTCTGGTATTACTAGCCTTTTATATCACAGCTGTCAGGTGGGCAAGAACAGCAATGAGGCTACTCAAATGGGAGATATTATCACATTGGTCAAAAAATGATCATCTGGATTTGAGGTTGTCTGGAATCCACTGACTTGGTGGAAACATACAAAGTTTGTATCGTTGGGTTACCCTGTCCATCAAAGGGAATTGATGGGGATTATTAGCACGTTACTTTTTCTTTCTCTTTTTCATACTCCGTCTAGCAAGTTTAACAGGGAGAGAGGCTTTATCTCGTTTCTATTCTGTATTACCTTTTAGTGTAATAGAACTTATTATCTTAGGAAATACTGTTAATAGCGTTTACTATATCAAGGCAAAATTATCCAGCATGTTCTTGAAGGCATATACCAATTGCCTAAGACTTCTATCAGCTAGCCTCCAATAATGTTCACATACTAGAGTGAAAATTCACTATAGAAATTACACTATCTCCCTTTTTTATCTTGCTGATTGGACCACAAATTAACTCCTTGAAGATCCCCTTAATTCGGCCATTCTGAATAAAACCTATACAAGGGGTATGGTTTTGAGTCACTTTTCAGTCAGAGAAAAGCAAAATAGCTTTTGTAATTCACCTCTTTCATATTAAGTGCACCCACACTTATTATATATCATTTTATTCATGAGAAACAGGGCTTTAATTCCACATGAACTATTCATATATGAAACATAACTTATTTATAACATTTTAAAAAAAAATGTGTAGTTCCGCCTGACATTTTAGCTGTAAATGTCATGATACTGTTTGCTTTTACTGCAATAAAATGTACATATTTGAATTCAGCAATGTTTCACGAGTAAGAGTACCTCCCATTAACAGTTTTTTTACGGTGTTTTGGAAAGTTACAGGGTCAAATATAGCACATTCCATTTTTCATTTTTTTTTTTTTTCACATTCAAATTTGCCAGATTAGTAATGTTACCTTTGAGACAGTGTGGTAGCCCAGGAATGATAATTACCCCCATGATGGGGTATGTCCAGTCTTTTTTAATAGCCACTTAGTCACAAACACTGGCCAGAGTTAGCATTCATAATTGGTTTTTGTGGGGGGGGAAAAGCAAAAACCAAATATTTGGGCAGTGTTTGTGACTAAGTGACTACTAAAAATGACTGGACATACCCCATTTGCAATACCTTGGGTTGTCTACTTTTGAGGGTAATTCTCATTCCCGGGCTACCATACGGTCTCAAAGGCAACTTTACCAAACTGGCAAATTTCAATGTAAATGAAATGCAAGCCTTATATTTGACTCTAACTTTCCAAAACTCCATAAAACCTGTACATGGGGGGTATGGTTATACTTGGGAGATTTCACTGAACAAAAACAGAAGTGTTTCAAAACAGTGCCGTTCGTGTGTGGGGGAAAAATGCAAAAAAAAAAGTCACTCTTACTGCAAATATCATCGTTGTAATACAATTTATCATTTTGAAACACTAATATTTGTGTTCAGCGAAGTCTCCCAAGTAAAACCGTACCCCCCATGTACAGGTTTTATGGTGTCTTGGAAAGTTACAGGGTTAAATATAGTGCTTGCGAATTAAATTCTCTGCACTTTCTGCCTGGGTTGTCAGGCATGTCAATCAAACTTTAATTAATTCACATTATGTTAAAAGATTACTTAAATATACACATAGAATTTTAATAAATATATAAAAAAAACTATTTAAATTCTACTTGTATACTTATGTAATTATATATTCATTATATTTTTGCGGTTATTTGTAATAAAAAATATAATATAGTTGGAATGAAATTACATATGTGTATATATAATTAAAATTTAAAAAAATATATTTTATTGTATTCTTGTAATTATACGTGTATATAATATCTTGTGTATGTAACTTCATTCTAAGTATTTTAATACTAATATATGTAATTATATTAACATTAAAATACACTACATACATTTAATTTATTTTACATGTCTAATTTTTTTTTATTTTCCCACCAGCAGGGGGACTGTCTGACAGCCCAGACAGTCCCCCTGCAGGCAGATCCACAGCCAGCTATAGGGGACCATGTGATCGCTCTTTGAGAGTGATCACATGGCCCCCGGGGGCCTGATTTGCCGGGGGAGGGCTGCCTGGGCTGTCAGGAAGTCCTCCTGAAGAGGATCGCGGCGGAGGTAAGTACCGTGGACCTCCTGGGGGGTTAAGCCGTTAGGTCATTCTATGCCGGCGTTAAGGAGTTAAACTTAATATTTCTATATGGATCACTACGGACGCCTCAGAATTTGGATGGATATTCATTTCCATCAAGAAGTTTGTAGTTGGAAGAATGACTTGCTTCCTTGTGAGCTGTGATAGAATTCAACCAGACAGCAGCACAACCGTATCCTATATCAATCGACAAGGCATAATCCTTGCATGTTCTTTATAGAAATATTATGACCTGGGCGCAAGAAAATTTAGATACCCTTTTGGTCGTTCACAGAAAATGTAATCTATCTCTTGACTGGTGTGTGTATTTGTGTTAAGCAATGTATTAACTAACCACTTGCTTCAGGTGGAACGGGTTTTCATCCACACTTTTTTTTTTTTTTTTCAACCATATATATTGTTGTGGTGAGGAAAAAGGGATGATGAAAACCCCTTCCACCTGACGTAAGTGGATAGTTAATACATTGCTAAACACAAATACACACACTAGTCAAGCCATAAGACTTGCTTTTCCCACAGAAATCTCACTTTAACAGTGCTCTCACTACTGCAAGGGATTCTGGGTAGGCGTATGCAAATGAGCTTAGAGAATCACATTTTTGCCTCATAATTCCACTTTATACATGGATTCCTTGGAGTATGTGTCTGCTGTATACAACAGCTTTGAAACACAACTCAGGAAGAGGAGCAAGGGTTCACGCTGGCTCATCCTGTTCCACATCTGGATCCAAGTACCGAATTTACCATCTTCCTGCTAGATTGATTGCCTGTGTACTACTTTTATCTTCTAAGTGTTATTTGTAATAAAGAAGGGGCACTTCCGGAATCATAATGGACTTTTGGTCCGTTATCTGACACTGGACAACCTCACGCTTTGCATGAGGAACTCCAGCATTAGATTTTTTTGATTCAGTGCTTTCCTATGGGGCGGTCTAATGCGCGCGTGGCATTTGCCACACATGCACATTCGACCCCGCTTTTTGCAGGACGGAGGAGGGGGCGGAGCTTCGACTTAGTAAGGCAGAGGGATCGGTAGAAATACAAAGCTGCATTCCTGGCACTGCAGTATCCCTTTAAATTCCAACACAGTTGGTGTATTTCGTAAAGATTTTAAAGTATATCTTTTGAGTGGGTTGGCATTTCAGTGAAATGTCAATGTAGTCTTTGTGTGCATTTAAAAAAGCTTCCATCTTTATGAAATGATTTTTATTTAATTTTTGTTAGTGGGATGACAGCAGCTTATGAGAAAAGCCCTATCAACATGTTTAAGGGTACCAACTTAGTATTCTGTTTAGTAGATAGCTTTCTAATTTGGGAGCCATCTACGCTGATCTTAATTTTAACTGTATAGATAGGGGCGGCCCTCTATTTACAGATATGGCATTTGGCCCTCATGCAATAAAGGTTGCTGACCTTGGTTCTACTCATTTGCCCTCTTGTGCTATTCAAAAGAAGCACAAAAACTAGTTGTATAGCAACTCCATTATTGAGTAAATTAAGGAATTCTCATACATGTATAATTCCTTTTCTAATCAATAAAAAAAAAAAAAAAAAAAAATTATGTAAGAAGTGTATACATTTAGATTTATTTGTATTTGTTTTATTATTTGTTGCCTTATGTTACGGTCTAAATAATTCTCACACCTAAGTGACTGCCATGTAGATTTGGGAAAGAAAGTTACAAAGAGAAAAAAAAATAAATGTAATGCTTCATATAAATAGCAGAAAAAAAATAAAAAAATAAAAATCTCTAAACTTTTCAGGGCTGGCGCTAATATCAGGCTGCCGCCATAGAGCGTACCAGCCTGGGAGAGGGGGGTGGGAACACACTGGATCAGGCTGTCTGGCAGGAGAGGAGCATGTTGCACAAAACTTCTCTGCTGACGGTTATTGCTTGTAACATGGCCAGACTGCGGAAGAGGAGCTAGTTTCTCTTTACGTGGTCTGACAGGAAGTGCACTGAGAGCGCTGAACTGCTGTCAGACCGGGTGGAGGGAAACCAGTTCCTCTACAGGGAAGGTAAGCTGGCACATGAGGGTGCTGGGGGAATGAGGAGGTGCTGGTGGGGAGGAATAGGACACGGTGGGAGGGAATGAAACTTAAAGGGGGGTCCTGGGGGAATTAGACATGGGGAGATGGGAATAAAACATGTGAATGGAGGGGCTGGGGGGAATGAGGCACGTGAATTCAAGGGCTGAATGAACATTATTGCGTAGTAACACCTCTGGTAACTTACGGAGTCACTAGAGGTGTTGCACAGTGTGCAGCACTGATGTCGTGGAGGCGCTGCATGTTCGTCATAGACCTGCATTTAAATCAATGTATCTCTATGAGGAGATGCAGAATGGCACAGCGTGGAAGTTTGCTGCACACGTGCAATAGTCTCCAGTAGGAAAGCTTTGGATTGGCTGAGGTCATCAACATTGATCTCAGCCAAGGAGGTGGAGCGTAAGTGGGGCCAGCCACAGAGACCCATGCAGCACTGGAAATCCGTAAGTGAAAACTTTTTCACAGCCGGCATGGGGTGCTGGATACCTAAAGTATGTCTTCATACAGATAGTGTCAGAAATACACGTTTGTATTCCTGACACTATAGTGTTCTTTAACTCTGCTTATTCTGTACATAGAAAATAATATGGACTCAAATCTTGAATACCTTTTGAGAGATGCACTTAACTCTTGCTGCCTGCTTAAAAAAGAAACCATACATTGTTTGGTGTTTTAAATTTATTCTTATTACTCAACTCCATTTTTCAGGTTTGCTTTCTAATTCCTCTTTTAAACAGGTCTCCATCGTTATGTTTGGTTGGTCTACGAACAGACTGAACCATTGAAGTGTGATGAGCAAATTTTGTGCAACCGCTCTGGGGAACACCGTGGTGTGTTTAAAGTGGCGTCTTTCCGCCAGAAGTACAAGCTCGGCAGCCCTGTTGCTGGTAATTGCTACCAGGCCGAGTGGGATGACTATGTACCCAAACTGTATGAGCAGCTGTCATCATAAAAAACAAAACAAAAAAAAACAAACAAAAAACACTAAAGTAGACATGTTCTTTTAGTGAGCTTCCAAAAACAAATAACTTATAGAATTAATTTCTGAAGCAGACTAGGTAAAAAATCCCTATACATGAACAATATGTATGCAGCATTTATTAGTACAGCAACGTCATTTCCAAGGACATATTTAGATGACCAGCAATGTCTTCTGTTAGATATATATCTATCTTTATATCTGCCGTTAGACATGATGATGGCACAGTTAAAACGCACGTCCTGTTGGAGAGATTGCACTTTTTGTGTTTGACATGGGGAAGGAATTAATGCTGTGTCCTCCTCAAAACATCTCAAAAACTGACCGCTGAATTATTTGAAGATCACTTTGAAACCATGCTGTTCATGATGACTTTTGCCCCAAAATATGTTTTGTGTAATTACTTGACTGTTTCATAAAAACCTAATGTAATACAAGTATTTCAAACTGAATTTTGTTCAATTTATTTTGCTGTGCTTTGTTTAATACATTTTGTGTGCATTAAATATCAATAAAAATACTCTAATTTGTGTTCTAATTTTTAAGATTTCATGTTTTTAATTTCATTTAAATTTTACAAAGTCAGAGACACAAATAATTATCTTTCATATTCTGGTTGTATTTGTTTCTGGAATGCTACAGTTTTTCATAGCAACAACTGGAAAAACAAGCATATAAATCCCAGCCAGGTGCATGGATGAGCTGAATTGGCAAATCCGTGCTTAAAGTATGTCAAGAAGACGTGATACTGAGTCAACAGTTTTACAATATACACTGAAAAAGGTAAACAATCCAATAATACTACTTTGAAAGTTGTTAGAAGTATTAGGATCAAAATATGCAAAAGGCAAATAAATTGTTTTGAAAAATTTATAATTCAAATTGAATCTATGTGGAAGTCGATTGCAAGCAGTGGACAGATGCTGCATAATTAAAGGATGCTGCAGAATCTAAAGTTCGAATAGTGTCTACAATAGTGTCCCCAACGTCCTGGCCTTTAAATTGCAATGTTTTAATAATTAAAAGGCATTAATCCATGCTTCCATTCCCTCTTGATAGGAGAGCTGGGATGGTCATAGCCAGGCATACCATGTCACGCGTGCATGCACAGTGCTTTCTGCTCGTCAAAAGAATCATTGGAGGTTAAAAGAACACTACAGTATCCGGAACACACTGTATTGCTGAAACTATGGTAAACTGAAGAGGTCGCCAGCTTCCCTTTGAAAAGGTGAATTTACTTTTAATTTTGATTTTCCAAACACTGTGCTGTTCTTGCCACGGCTGGCTCTGCCTCCATGGCTGATATCATCAAACTTTATCTCAGCCAATCCAGTGCTTTCCCATAGGAAAGCATTGGGAGGCTATTGCATATGCATAGTAAAACGGCATGCTGTGCCAATCAACATCTCCTCCTAGAGATGCATTGAATCTGTGCAGCCGCACCCACACCCCTATGACCGGCCCTGCCACCGAGGCTATGGCCTTAGGGTGGTAAGCTGAACAGGGCTGCATTTCTTGATCATGCGATTTATCATTGTTGTTACAGTAGGAATAGCGGTGTGCTAGGGAGAAAAGGCAAATAACTTTCTCCTCCTTGCTCGGCAGTCTTTCTAGCAGGTAGTCAAAGGACCTACAAGAGAGCGCAGAGATGATAACCATGCGTGTTGTATTTCCGGCTGCCTACTGTTCCTGAGCAACCCCAACACCACTGGCCAGCAATCAGGTGACTGGTTGGAGAGTGAGGGACACAAATAGGGGAAGGGTGGGAGAGAAGAGTGGAACACAACACACAACAGCCTCATCTCATCCTCCAAATACACTACAGCCTCTATCCCATCCCCACACACATACCAGGCAGTCACAATTTCTACCTAAACATACTCTACAGAGCCTGTCCCTCCCAAATGAGCTACAGTTGTACATCCTCCTATAGCTCCTATCCACATACAGCCACTAGTCGCATGTACACATATTACACTGCAAACTGTTCTATCTATAACACAACCCCACAATATTCTCCCTCCCCCACATGCAACTCTACAAGCAGTAGAGTGTCTCCAGAAACATGCAAGACCATATAAAGACTACCCCCACACATGCAACTCCACAAGCAGTCAAACACCTCCCCACTAAAATTGTACAAGTAGTGTCTCCAATAACATGCAATACCACAAGCATCGTTCACATGCAGACACTACCCTCTCACAGCCCTATCCCATTCAATCATACCCTAAGCTAGTAGCATACATCCATCCGGTCACCTACACCGTGTGTGTTATACCTGCAGTTGTGGGAGCTACCCCTTCCTTCCCAGCAACCTACTTGGCGGTCTGACAGTTTGAACCTGGTTGCGAGATTACCACACACAGCTTCTGGTTTGCGGGCTTCTCAGCTTAAGATGGTATCGGTGACAAAGAATGTTTGTGAGTAGGGAGCCTGATACGCAGTCGACCTCCCCCAGTTCACTTCCCTTTAACATTGTATTTTAGGCCTCGGTCACAACATATAGTCAATGGGATTCAGTACATTCGGCCTACACCACATATTCACTTTGGTTTAGTACATTTGCCCACACTACATACTCACTTAGGTTAAGTACATTCTGCATACGTTTAGCCACGCTTTCAGTACTTTTGCTTGTTCGGCCACTCTACCTGCATTAGGCATTTACATGATTTGTTAAAATAAGTCAGATTACAGGTAGTTTTACTCATTTTATTATATTGCACTGCATCCAAAAGGTGTAATTCATGCTGTGTCCTACTTGTGTTTTTATGAACCTACCTTTTGTCCATTGATGCTGAATTTTCAAGTTTCGGATTATTATGGTATACTTCAAACTACATCTCTCTCCTAATTGTATTTGAGAATATCCAACGTATTTATCATCTGCTACGCACTTTTCATCTGAAATAACAGTTGCCAGAAATGAACCATTATATCTATGGCTCCAACACTGCACCTCCTATTTTTCTCAGCCTAGCATATACGGGTAGATATTTCACTTCATAGTTGAGCGAATTTATTTTTTATAACATTTAGCAGGGGGTTTGTATCCAATTTCACTATTTATCATTTTCAGTAGCTCTGTGACACCTCTACTAAATTGGGTGTTGTTCGTGACTATTAAAATTACTGGCCATTTAAAAATACACACCTATAGTTATCTACATTCATTCTCAATCACTACTTATGATTAATACCCATCGGGGGCTATTCAGGTATAACCGTATGATTTTCGGCATTTCACCTGCACCAGCTCTCCAGCAATGAACAATAGACAAGCTGTTTGCTGGACTTCCTGGGAGACAGTGCCTGTTTGATGTCCTGCTGATGACAGGTAAATCAGAAGAGGAACATAAGCTGTTTTGCAAAAACGCGCTGCATACCACAGATGAGAAGGTCAAGGCCCTAAAGGATTCTCTAACTCCACAAAACGTGACCCAACTATGATCCTATCTTGGTCTTTTAAAATTCCAATAGGTTGTTTGTTTCTGCCGAATTTAGTTCATATGTTGTACTCTTTATCTTCCAGAGAGTAAATGACAATGGTGCTGGACAGCAGAATGTGCTTCAGCTTTCCATAAGTTAAAAGAACTAGTTAATAGTTAAAGGACCACTCTAGGCACCCAGACCACTTCAGCTTAATGAAGTGGTCTGGGTGCCAGGTCCTTCTAGGCTTAACCCATTTTTTCATAATTATAGCAGTTTCAGAGAAACTGCTATAATTATGAATGGGTTAAGCCTTCCCCCTAATCCTCTAGTGGTTGTCTCATTGACAGCCACTAGAGGCGCTTGCGTGCTTCTCACTGTGAAAATCACAGTGAGAGCACGCCAGCGTCCATAGGAAAGCATTGTAAATGCTTTCCTATGAGACCGGCTGAATGCGCGCGCAGCTCTTGCCGCGCGTGCGCATTCAGCCGGCGGGGCGTAACGGAGGCGGAGAGGAGGAGGAGAGCTCTCCGCCCAGCGCTGGAAAAAGGTAAGTTTTTACCCCTTTCCCCTTCCAGAGCCGGGCGGGAGGGGGTCCCTGAGGGTGGGGGCACCCTCAGGGCACTATAGTGCCAGGAAAACAAGTATGTTTTCCTGGCACTATAGTGGTCCTTTAATGTCTTCTAGTTCATTGATGTGGCGGACCGCCTGGCACACCGACTGGGTACCTCTGCCAATCACGCTTCCTCGTATCACTAAGTACTATAAGCACCGCACCAGACAGCATAACCACCGTAGCCCCTCCCCCCATCAGCTGCCGCAGCTTGGCTAGGGTCTCGCCATCCCTTCCAACCCTGGTCCAACACCTGGATCCAGCTCCCAGTGAGAAGACCTTTCCTCCAGCGCAGTATAATAATTCCCCACACACATGAGCTAAGGCTTAATGCTGGGAAGTAGTCTGTTTAATGGAAGCACAGTCACAGAATTTATACAAGTTACAAACTCCTCCCCTGTGCCTGAGAGATAATTAAATCAGGAACTGTACTAACTCAATTATCTCCAGGTACAGAAAAAAAATATTTTGGAACATCCCAAAAGTACCCCCAAAACACATGAAAACCCCACAAAAGTTACATCCCCTGATAGACCCGATCTAGGTGACCAACATAACCAAAAATCACCCAGATCTTGTCAGGGGTTTGGGATTTCTATAAATAATAATTTGACCGACCGTGCACATGGTCCTATGCTCAAAACAGTTCCATGAATTCAGTGCTAACGGTTGGTCATGTTCGGTAGTTCAAAAATGAACAAGATACCGAATGTAGTCAATAGTCATATCGTGGAGCTTGTTCCCCTCATCCAGACAAACGATTCCAGCGAACAATGCCCTTCCACAATGTACTGAAACAAACGCAGGTGATGATGGAAGTTCAGCCGTGTTCAGAAATTCGAGTTCCATGCACTTGACGACCAAACACCGCTGCCTGCGTTCGCGGGAACAAGATGGTGCTCGTTCGTATGAACTGTGGCCACCCACGAACAATTACAACACTGCGGTTAGAATCGTTAGGAGGTTCCCGAACAGCATAGGAAAATGGCACAAAGTGAGTCTCTTAAAAGGCTTTTTGCAGGGCCCATAGTCTTTGGGCAGGAGGCTAGCCAGCAGGCCCCTACAGGAACACGTGGCAGAGGCATTTCTGCCACAATAACGACTTGGAAAAGCCAATTTTCATTGCTTGCGCAGTGTCACCTTATGGCATTTTTGTCTCATTTCATTGCTGATGGAACAGACAAGGCCAGTGGTTTTTGCCTCTAGCTCGCTCACAACTACAGAAAAAAATGATTCTCAAATTGGTTTATCAGGAGAATCGTTGGCTCTGACAATCGTATGGGTAGTAAAGAAACTCCATATATATATATATATTTATATATTTGACCCTTCACACTGCTTAAAAACCATAAAATCTAATTGACAATTTTTAACCCACAGAAAGGTATCCCCTGGTATCCCAGACTGCTTCAGAGGTATGCCTGCCATTACTCTGGAGGCCTATCAGTATTTGATATGATATCGTCCGAAAGCCCTTCGTGATAATAACTTCTCTAGACTTGAAAGTGGATTCACAATTACGGTAACTACCACAGAAATATCT